ACAAGTGTCGAAGGTAAAGCGAGGAGTGAGAAAAAAGTGAAAAAGAAGGAAGGAAAGAAAGATACAAAGAGAAAGAGAGCGTAAAGAGAGGAAGGAAATATAGAGAGCGATCGTGTGGCATCGAGAGGGCTGGCTCCATGTTGTGAGCGTCTGAGGACTGCCGAGGGCAGCAGCGAAAGGGCGGAGTAGGGTGCCGCCGCCGTTATGGAGTACGGTGGCGGGGGCGGTGGGACACGCGGGGGTGTCCAGCCACCCTCCGCGGGGGCGAGGGGCATCGCCGGCACCGACACTACCGACGCTGCGTGGCACAAACACGAACAAATGATGCTCATGGAGTCCAGGCACAAGCAACAATGTGAGTAAACGCACACTTTCTCAGTCATTCTACCCTTTCCCATCGCCGCGCCGCTTCTCCCTTCTTGTTGATGATGCACGTGCGGACTCGGACGGTAACGGGAATTTTCGGAACGGATTGCTGGTTTAAGAGAGTAGGGAGGCGGGTTATTTCGCAGTCTACATTGATCGAGAGCTTCCGTCTGGAATGTATGATGCCGAAGAAAGGGATTTTGTTGATCTAGGAAAGACTTGATATCAAGAACAACGTAGTAACATTTTTAGAGAAATTTAATCAATCGATTTAGTAAAAAAAAAATTGCATTTGAAATTTAATTATCGATGTATTAATGCTAAGGCAAAGATCGAAGACAACAATTAATCATTACAATTAATAATATATAATATCGATCTAGTAATACATTCAAGAACGCAAATTAATAACGAATATATTAGGTGTAGTAAAAAGAAATCCATTATTTTTCCATTCAATTTCATGCAAAAATAATTTCTTTTTATTATACCTAATATATACATACTTTTAAATTTTGTTAAAGTAATAATAGCTTCTTAAAAAACTGAATATGAAAAATTACTTTCAAAATGTTATTCAGATCAGTTGAGATCAGAGTGCTTGATTTCTTTCGTACGGATACCATTAATTTTTCCGGAAATTCGTATGATTAATAGCTGGGAGAAATATTTCGCGGGATATCAATTAAATCTCGAATATTGCCGAATTTTTGTGTGTCAGGTTACCATTCTTCAGGAATAAAAAGACGATGATTCAAGGCATTCGATAGAGAGAGAGAGAGAGAGAGAGAGAGAGAGAGAGAGAGAGAGAGAGAGAGAGCTCGAAATAAAATTTATTTAACACTTTCATTTTATGTTGCATACTATATATTGCATATAACAATAATATCGTTAACAATAATAATCATTAACAATAATATAAATTAAAAATGAAAATATTATTTAAAATCCATCTTAAATCGTTAAGGTTTTTATTATTCATTATAGAAATTAGATTTATCTGTCTCTCTATAATAATAGTAACGCAAAATAGGTTTTCAGTCTTAAATATAAAAAGAAATATATATTACGAGAGCAAAACCGATATTTGATGTATCTATTTCCGTTCAACGCGAAGCATAAGGTAGAGAAAAAGAGAAAGCATGTGTCTATGTATCTTTTTTTTATCCCTGACCTTTGACACGTTTGTATGCACGCGCTATAAAACATCGACGGCTGAATGTTACGAGGGAAAAATGCGAACGGTGTAACCGTAAGTTACGGCGCGCCGGCCTTTGACAACTGACGTTTACGTCTGGTTAAACTGTCGCGTTTTTCCGTCATTTTCGTGCCTTCGGATGCAACACGTTTCTGCAGGATAGATTTTCTGTTCACATTTTCCTTAATGTGACTACTTCATAAACTGTGCTCATATATAAACATCAGAGCTTTATAAACATTTCTATAAACAAGTTTTATCAGATATCTCAACATATTTTTCTTTTTATCTATTCGAATTCTAGATTTATGCCTAAATTCTAAATAAAATTGTAAGGTTCGTAATATATTCTCGTAAGATTTATAAGAATTTTGAAGTGTTTATATTTTTATACGATATTATTTTTAGCCAGACTAACTATGAGATTTACAAGAAATCGTAAATATTTACGAATAATCTTACGTCTTACGATGCATAAAATTATAAATAAATAAAATATTGGTATGGTTATAAGTTCTTATGAGTTTTACGAGAACAAGTTACGAGTCTTACGATTCTGCTTAGAATTGATCTATTAGAATTGACCTAGGCTCCTAATATTAATCCTTCTGTAATTCTTAAAGCAATAACGATATCGTTGTTGACATTAAGAATTACAGAATAAGAAGCTTAAACTATTTTTCAATGTCTTCAAAAGATATTAAAAATAATTATTGGCATAATAAAATGGAGGGTATACGAAAAAAATGATTTCATTGATATATATAAAAATTTAACTTATTAGATACAGATTTAAGAATAATTTTGTTAGGCTATTAAAATAATAATATAAGAAATTCAAGGCATGATGAGAGCAATGTTGCAAAAAATTTTAATATTTTAGCAACCTTGAATGTCCTGCATACATAATTATTTTAATAATTTAACAAAATTATTTTGAAATCAGTAGCTAGCTAAATTTTTTAGCTAGATTCTTCAGGAAAATCATGCACTTACCAATCATATCGTTCATTTGCAATAAGGTAAACTTGAGATAGAATGACCATAGGTTTTCAGACTACAAAAATGCTCTATTTAACAATTATTGGAGATTACAGCTTATAATCCCGTCTTTTTCGTACATATGGCCATAATAACCGAGTTTATTCCACAACGTATCTTATCGGAAGTCATCTCTTTCTTTTTTTCGAGCAAATCTTATATATGTTTGCTAGATATAACAAAAACTGTGTATTGTAATTGGTGAATGTATCGAATGATGCAAGTGCATCGCGATGAAACGACAAACATACGTGAGAACGGCTCAAATTAGCAGGTTCGATATATTGCATTTGCCAAATAGGCTTTCATTCACCATTGTTAGATGAAAAGAGAGTAAAGCGCGACCGATTTCATCCTCCCTTTCCACCGACTCCCTCTCTCTCGGTAGCGTTGTCCGATAATGAGACTCGCGTAACGAGTCGACAGCGGAAGGAAACTGCACGATGCCGCAATTGCGGATGACGTCCGCATTTAACTCGGCAATATGATTCGATTAACGACCATGCTACCATCCGCGTTGTCGCCGCCGGATAATAACGCTGTTCTTTTCCGCGTTTGTCGCGAATGCAAGATGTTAATTGTTCTCAGTAATCCAGATACCGCAACACACACCGAGAAGCAATCTTAACAATGAATTACGTATCAATTGTACAATCGGGTTGTTTAACTTTCTTCGCGATTTCTTTCAGCTACAGATTGTTGTTCAATCTATTCGGGATTTCCCGTTTGATTTTTCCAAACATCGGAATAGTCCTCGGATTAGAAGCGATTGAAAGTAAAGGATTTTCGAAAGATTAAACTCCCGAGGTGCAAACGGATAATAAAGGCTTTCATTTATTATAATTTCAAGCGCGAACTTTACTTTGGCAGAATTTTACTTTGCGGCGTGCTTATCAAGACAATTAATAATTGAGATTGGGGAAAGATAGTGAAGAAGAATCTGAGATAAGGACGACGAGATCAATATAACACATTCCATATAATTAGAAATAAAATGTTGTTACAATTTTATAAAATTTTGTTAATTATTGAAAAATATCAAGGCATTGTATTGAATTTGTTTCGAAAAAGTCTCGATTAATTAGATAACTCGAGATTATTCCATTTAAGCTGGGAAATTTGTGGGTTTTTTTTTTTTAATGAAAAATATTAGAAAAATACTTATAATATACTAATTGAAGGTTAGACTAAAATTTCATACAGTTGAAAAAAATCGAAAAAAAAATTTATTAAATCTTAACATACATATTTCTTTAAACAATACTAAGTAAATGTTTATAGTGAATAAATATTTACTCAATAAAAAAATGATAAAGTTAAAATTAATGATTTTTGTATCAAATATATATATGTTTACATTTAATATCTAAATATTTATTTAAAACTATTTAAACAAATATTGATTAAAATTTAGTATTTTTTTTTCAATGTGAAAATAAATACATACACACACTAAATCTTTATTATATTAACAAGATAGCGTTTTTAAATTTAGATTATTTAAAGCAACTCATTATGTAATGGACTCTTTGTATCTATCAGGATAGACGAAAAAAACCGGGTCAGCATCTCTTGATCAAGTGGCTGTATTTAGCGTCTAAATACAGCATCTAAACGAGTGTAACTTTATATTTTATCGTAAAATTTTCATCCCTCGATAAATATATTTCTCGGTCGATCGTAGACTTGCGTTCGTGAAAATCTACGAGGGGGAGTCTAATCGACGGGAAACGAATAACCCCTTGATCCGGCGGCGTTTCACGTAAGATTACCAAACCGGCGATTACCGGCGTGATCGATCGTTCATTATCTTTCACAATTAATCGCGCTTCCCCGTCTGAGTCCAAAGGGCGTCGAATGTTTAACGCGGCGCAGTCGATCCTGATGCAAAAAAATAGCCTTGCTCGAGGTTTGCCGACGTTGGGAAATTGTTGATTAACGCTGTTGATAATGAGTCCGAGCTTCAATTCCGCGACGCTGTTACAAGTAGGTCATCGAGCTATTCATGCAGAGAAGAATTCTTTCGGAACCGGCAAATTTTTGAGTATTCAGGCACACTGAAAGAAAGAGTCTGTAATAGCTAGCAAATGTTGAGTGAAATAATTTTAATCAAACGTTTAGTTGATAAAATAAAAAATAATTTTATTTTTCTAAATATTTAGTTATGTTACTAAATGGTTAGTTGTGCTTATTTGATAATACTTAGATACTAAATATTTAGAAAAATAAAATTATTTTTTGTTGTATTAACCGAAAATTTAGTTGAAATTATTTTATTCAATTATCATATTTGGTCGAGTAAAAAGTTGAGTAAAGTATTGCTGCAAAAAGTTTTGACATTTTAACAACTAGTTTGAACATCCTGCATATAATTATATTGACAATCTAACAATAACAAAATTATTATTTGTATTTAACTAAATTTTAAATATTTTAACAAAACTGTTCTTTCCGTTATTATGACGAAAAATTTATACCTATTTCTTATTATGTTTATATCGTTCTCTATTCTTATTACAAGTTCAAACCGTGAAATTTTCAAATTTTATTACTGAACTTATTTTGGAATATTTTTATAATACTTTTATTTACATAATCAAAAGATATTGCCGTTATGGAAAACTAAACTTTCAGATATCATGCAGTATACATAACATACATACATAGAATCTATCTCTGAATTTTTCGCGAGATAAAAGAAAAGTAAGTCACGTAACGTTTCTACGAGCAAAAATTTCATAGATCGCATT